TCCTGCCTCAGCCTCCCAAGTGGCTGGGATTACAGGCATGCGCCACCACACCCGGATAATTTTGTATTTTTAGTAGAGACAGAGTTTTTCCAAGTTGGTCAGGCTTATCTCGATTTGTGACCTCAGGTGACCTGCCCGCCTCAGCCTCCCAAAGTGTTGGGATTACAGACGTGAGCCACTGCACCCTGCCTATTCATAAATTCTTAAGGTCAACTACATTTGAAAAATCAAAGACCTACATTTTAAATTCCCTTTTTTTTTTTTTCTTCTGACGGAGTCTTGCTGTTTCCCAGGCTGGAGTTCAGTGGCGCAATCTCGGCTCATTGCAACCTCTGCCTTCCGGGTTCAAACAATTCTCCGTGTCAGCCTCCCGAGTAACTGGGATTACAGGTGCCCGCTACCACGCCCGGTTAATTTTTGTGTTTTTAGTAGAGACCATGTTTCATCGTTCACCTCTGGTAAAACCATTCACAAAGCATGGTGGTAGAGAGAAGGGTGACACCTGGTGGCCATACGTAAACGTACCACGGGGGCCGGTGACCAGAGATGCTGGGCTGAGGGTTTTCCTGAGGGTAAAGGAATAAACAACGGGTGGAGGGGCGTGTACTGAAAATCACTTGTAGAGAAAGCCCCTGAAAATTTGAGAAAACAAACCAGAAACTACTTACCAGCTATTTCAATTGCTGGAATCACAGGCCACTGCTGAGCTGCCTGAACTGGGAATACAGCAGAAGGAAAACAAACAACTCTGATAATCATTGAGTCAAGCACAGCAGGTGATTGAGTATGGCTGGGAGGTACAGGCCAAAATTCTTGTGTTCATTTTTTTCAGCCAAGTTATAATAATTGTCTCAAAAATTTTTTTTAATTACATATATTCAGGGAGTAAAAGTTCAATTTTGCTACATTGATACATTGCATTGTGGTGAAATCAGGACCTTCAATCCATCCTGGAAAAAATTAGTTTTGGAAAAAATTTATGCCATGAAAAATTTGGAATATAGAAATTCATCAAATTAATTCCATAAAGAATTTATTAATAAAGCCAGAAAAATTAGAATATCTTATAGTACTGTATTTTATAAAACATTCTTCACAAACACACACATTTAAAAACAAAACACTGACTCTAAAATTACCAAATTTCTTATCAACTATTAGTTTTAAACTACCGTTTCTTCTAACCACAATCTGATTTAACGATGACTAGCACTTAAATATTTCTAACTTTGAAATTAAAGATTTTCCCATGCAGGCTGATGTTTGTAATTGTGATTCTCTCTATCGACGTTGTATATAATGTGTTCTTTTCCTTTTTTGCATCAGTGATTAACTTCTCCACTCTAACATGTAGAACATTAATACAATATTATTTTGTGTGACAATTTTATTAGAAAACCTAGAATGCCTTGGCACCTTGCATTTATTTCTTACTTCATATGCACGTATTTTGGCACCTCAAGCATTTTATTTCTGAGTAATTGCTTAAGGTATAGAAGAGATAGATGTGGCAGATTTAGAGCTGATACTTCTATAGTTTTTAATTCTTGACTGGATGAATTTGTATATTAAAAGTTTTTCATGACATAATTTTTTTTCTAAAACTAATTTTTTCCAGGATTGATTGAAGGCTCTGATTTTACCACAATGCAATGTATCAATGCAGCAAAATTGTACTTTTACTTCATGAATATGTCTAATTTTTTTTAAAAAAAGATTTTTTCAGCCAATTATTGTTACTTACTAGATATTAGGCTCTATTCTGAATCTTAATATAATTCCTCCAAAGTATCTTATGAGATAGGTGGGAGCTATTGCTGCTATTCTGTTATCCTTATGTTGCTGTTATGAAACCAAGTCACTGTGAGGTTAGTTAACTTGGTGAAGAAAATGATTGTC